TCCTGGCGATTCTTTATTCATGACGTTGTTTAGACCGCCTGCGATTATCAGGAGGTTTCCTTCATTAGTTTTAGTTGTGAGTTTTGCAATCGCTTGCCTCAACAATGATTCTAGCTTATGTCCTGAGAACGTCCCTATTGAAACCCTCTTGTCGCCTCTTACCCTCTCTTTGAGTGCATTTGCGGACTGATTTAAATTAGAGTCACCAACATACCACCCGCATACGTGCTCAGACTTTTGCTAGAGTGTCCCACACCTGGAGGTTACTTGCATTTGTAACCTCCGCTGGTTGCTTTGTCCCCTTGCAACTCCAAAGCTACTTTGCGGAAGCTGGGTCTTGTCACCATTGAACCGGTCGAACCTGTTTTTTCCGAACTTGTTTGCTTTTTCTTGTTGGCTGTTCTGGGTGCCGGTGCCCTACCCCTCTCGCCATTGGCTGCTCCTTTGTTCACATTCCCTAGTGCCTCCTCGGATGACCTAAGCCTTTCACTCATCGCCCTCATTCTTTTTCGTTTGATTGTCCACGCAGTCTCCAGCTCTGCGATTCTCATCAGTTTATTCTAGACAATCATCTTTTTCTCCATTTTTTTTTTCCCTCGACCTCACATTGTCTACACTTAGCATCAGCTTTCTCTGCATTTGCATCCGCACTACCCTTCATTTTCAGCCCCACTCTGCATCCTGAATATTTTACAGTCATTTTCACTATGTCTTATGTTTTTACAGTTTTTTTAATGAATTTACCAGTGTCCACGAGTAGCTGAATTGTCCCATTCGATAATTACAAGACATGGAGTACGACGAATGCTGCCCTATATAAAAAAAAGTATAAGCTCTACTACAAAAATTTACATGGTCGGTGTACTTGCACTTAAACTCCGTAGTGGCAGGTAAAAAAAACACACCAACAAGAAAAATACCAGGTGTCTAACCCCCAAACAGGCGTACAATGTAATAAGTGCAATAAAGGGTTACACAACTTTATTTAAGGTTACAATACGGTATTTAATAATTGCTAAGGCAATTATTAAATACCGTATTTACTTGCGTAATGATCGCACCCCTAAACTTTGTCGTCTAAATTCGATTTTTTTCCCCCCACGTAACGATCGCACCACGAACTTGCTGCATCGATATGTCGAGCGCCAAGTCTAGCCGATGATCATCGTCTATATATTTGTGGAATGTTGCGTTAATAACTCTTCAAAACTCACCAATTGCACGCACCAAACATGTTCTTAATTTTTGCCCATCGTTGGCGGAAACGTGCCATTTAGGATTGCATCAAGGGCAAATGCCGCAATTTTCACTGAATGCCCACCATGTGTTTTTATGTCTGTGGCAGCTGAACACGCCTGTTATTGTTTTTGTGATCTGAAAGCAGGTATCACTATGCTAATGTCGTAAATTCACTGATTTAAATGAAAGCATTCCTTATTTAGATGGAAGAAACTGTTTCAATGCGCATGACGTACTCACAACCTCCATAACTGACCAAAAGAATAAAAAAAAAATGCGGTCGCTTCGCTCTGTCAGCCGCCATGTTTGTTTTGACATCCCACACTGTTACAGCGGCGGCCGCCTGTTGGTCGACCTGCGTTCATCCCGCAGCAATGTTTTTTTTTTCCTGAGATCACCTTTTTTTTTCTCGTGTGCTCTGTGATTGTCTGTTGAAGCGCCGTTTCACCATGGGGCGGTATGCGAGCTTTACTGCCGCGTTCAAGCTGAAGGCGCTTGACTACGCACAAGAGCACAGCAACTGTGCTGCCGACGAGGTGGTCCATTTCCGGCGAGGCGGTCATCAAGAGCTTCAAAAAGACTGGCATTTCCAACGCGCTCGACGGAACGGAAAATGACCCTCTGTGGGACAGTGAGGACACTGCCAGTTCTGACAGGGAATCGTGCGGCGACGACACTGACACCAGTGACGCTTCTGAGTCTGAATGAATGTTGGGGGTCAGAGAGATAAAAACTAAAAGGGCAGTTTGCCATGCATGAAGCTCCTGCGTAATGTGTGCATTTTATTACAAATGTAAGCTTTAATTTACTTTTATTTTTGGTTATGTTCATGATAGCTATCGTAAGGATTCTGATAAGTGACTTTTTTTGCGTTTTCGGTGCTTGTGCATTTTCGGTGGAAAGTTTACCTCGTGTATTGATCGCATCCCGAAGTTGAAGTCAATATTTTCGAAAAAAAAGTGCGATCATAATGCGAGTATATACGGTAAACGCTGGCACATGTGCAAAACGTGTGCCAGCACCACACGGTGGTTTCCTCCCAAGGCGCCACACAATAGACTGCGCGTTCATTACACTTTTCTATTCTAGCCACTGTAACGGCACTTCGAACCAGAAGTCGATACAGACAGGCACTGTAGCCCACAATCCTTTGCGCGAGCCACGATTTCGCTACACACTATGTTTTACAAATGCCATTTCTTTCCCCTAGCAATATTATGTAGGTGTAAATTGCAACAGATTTATGACAATTTTTTTGGAATTGCAACAAATCTTACTTCTAGCGTCCTCTTCCCACGCTCGGTGAAGCCCTTGCACTGCATGGAAAGGCGCGCTCGTAAAAATAGTCTGTGATGACACACCCCATCACACGTTTTAGTGTTTTGATCTTGCTGGAATTCTCTGCTGTGCGCAAAATTGTGAGGTGCGCTTTATCGTTGGAGAACGTCTTCAGTTCAGCGTTCAATGGACAGCAGAACAATATGCAGATAACATTTAACACCGAGTGCTTTCTTCAGCACCTGCGGAAACGGTGTGATGTGCAACGATGCAAGCAAAAAACGTATGTCTGGTGACCCCTGTCTTCTAGATAACAAACAAGGGCTGGTCTTTCGTTCATCAGTATTCCTTAGCCTGGTTTCTTTTTTCAGCAGGCAGTGCCTATTACCAAGTTACTTATCATGCTACGATTTGCATGTCTGCATTGGCATACATAGCAGTAATTTATCAGAGTATATTGCAAAAAATGTAACACAAGTATTTTCCACACTTTTTTGTGCTCATTACTATTATGTCCAGTGTAATAAATGAGTTAGTGACCATTGCATAAAACTGAAATGTCATAATTTTGCTGTGACTAGGCATTATTTCTTCCTGTTAAAACAGAACACAAGCATTGTGCATGCTAAAGAACTTGCATATGTGAGAAGCAAACAAGCAACACTGGAGATATGACAGGCTTACACTGTTTATTGCTTTAATCTATCTGCGGAAGATGCCATGAACACCGAGCAAATGAATACGTTTCCTTGTAAAACCGAGACAAATGCCACCCACCGAGGCAAAGTGAACCCTAGTATACTTAAACGTCACAATCTATAGCCATGAGTTGGTATTAGATATCGCTGGTGGCGACTTGAAGCACCCTCATAGAAGAGTTGCCGTGTGCGTGAAAAACATTTATTCATTGCCGAGTTTGCAGGCCCATAAAGGCCCTTTACACAGGTGCAGTCGTTATTCCGGGACCCTGCTGGTGAAGGCTGCTACCCGCGCCCCTTAGATTAGAGCTTTTTGGGCTGTCTCTCATGCCTCGCTGGTAGGGAAAGGGTTAGAGGGAAGGGAGGGATTCATTTGACATGCCCACGCTGGCAATTGCTTTAGCACGAGTCCTTAGCAATCAGGAGCCCATAAATAGTACTTTGAGATCAAATTTCGCACTAGTGCACACAAAATGACGACACTTGTTTACAAGTTATTGCATCACATCTGCTTTATTTCTTGTTCTGCTGAATGTCTTTCCTCCTCACAGAGATGGCGCTAAGCCCCATGAGTAGCAGCTGATTAGATGCCATTTTCTGAACATATGGGCTTCTATGGAGCCTTCGCTACCAGTTGTATCTACCTTGACCTTACCTCTGGCGTCGGCGTCGCTCATAGTATCCATCCATATCAAACATAGCTCTGCAACCTCTGAAACACGCCTGTTTCACATGGTTGTTGCTCTGTGTTCCCCACTTACAGGGCGCGCTTTGCATATTACTCTGGTAGGGCAGTGCTGTTCAATAATCCTAAGATGCAGCTGTTCAATATTTCTAACAATAATCCAGCCCAAGTTCGGCGTCCAGTCAGTGACGCTCTTCCTGCTGTCCCATCGCTTTCTCAGGTTCTGTTCTCACCGTTCACTACTACATCTGTCAATGACTACAGGGGTTTGTCTAATGATCAATGATGGACAACAGGCGTCGTATTGTAGCTGTATATCAGGCGTCAATGTGGATGCATGCACGTTACGTGGTGCGATTGCGAATACCGTAGTTTAGGGTTAGGGTTTGATTAGAGCACGCCTGGATTCTTTGATTGATCGATGACACCAAAGTGGCCTCCATTTCTTGCTGAAATTTACACAACTGAGAAAATTTTGAGGCTGCTCGGGCATTTGGATGCAGCATGGCACAATTTCGGCAACTTTTATGGATTTGGCGCAGCTCGATGCAAAAATAGGAAATTGTATCAAATTGGCACAATTGGTGCAGCTGTTGCACCCCTACCATATGACGTCACACAGTTGAAACGACCCCTGCACCACAAGTCAACAAAGCGTAAGTGCCGACTACAAACACATTCATTCCCTTGTCTATACATTTATGCTCTGGCCTGATTGATCTGCATTACTTGCAGTGTGGATCAATAGTCACACTAAATCACAATATCTGCCACCTCCCCTTTCCCTGCAGAAAAGATACCCTTCTCCAGATCTCCTGGCCAGGCCCTCTCCATAGGGGTGGTAAGCAGTTTTGACATCCAGTTCAGCTCCAGTCCAGCCCGGAAGATCACCTACCTCTTTAGTTTGACTGCTATAAGGTTGTTTTCTATTTCTCTCTCTAGTGTCATGCTCAATTTCCTAAAGAAACACTTTATAAAATGTTTCACATTTAGTATTCTACCAGCTCAAAAGCCCAAATCAAGGAAAAAGAAACTTTGAGCACTATAAATTTCTTTAATGTCGGCTCATGCAGTAAATGAAGGCAACACACTCTTATTCAATACTACTGAGTTTATTTCTGAATTACTCTTCAAGTATAGAAAAGAGCCAAAAAAAGAACAGTATAATAGTTGTGTAAATAGTATTCTACAAATGACTGCTTGAGAGTATTGGCACCGTAGTCAGTTCTTTTTCCATGCTTTTATGGCAAGATATATGGTACACATTGGTTTATTATTGCTGAAGATTTCATTGCTTGCGAGGTTAGTCTTTTGATGGGCTGGTAAGTAACTGCCAGTCAAATGCACATCTGTCAGGAACATAATAAAACTTGTTCACAATACCAAATAAGAGTCGATTCTTGGTTAACGTTTGGCATTATGCCAAAAATAAAAAGAGCTGTGTTACAGTAGACAGAGCCTCACTCTGGGCTACCACTATACTCTGCAAGGCTATTCATTATTACTATAGCCTACAAAATGACTAGTAGTCGGTTCATTGAGCTACTAATGATTAGCGGAATCAAGGCAGACTGACGAGTTGGCAAAGGATGTCAACATGAACTCGCTCCATAGCTCTCTCTGATGGCCTCACTGAAAACCTTCTTGTTGAGTGTCAATATACTGCTTAAGCTGCGGCCACAGTCTAGGATGTCATGCTCTCACACTTTAGTAACGATTTGCACTGCATCCAGAAAAGTACACAAAGCAAGTGGCCAGAAAACCAGCAGCAATGGAGACATTTCTAATAAAACTAACCAGCCCTGCATGTGTGATGCAATTAAATACATCATGGCTGCTTGAGACACAGGTCATCGGTGGCTCATGTTTGTTAATGAGCTTTGTATTTACTCAAAAGCAGAGTATACAGTTAAAATATTTTGTTCTCTCAATCACTTTCTTTCTTGTGAACAAAAATAAACAAAACAGTGACTGCTATCACAGGCAGTGCCAAAACTAGACAAAAACAATAAAAATTAGAAAAATTGCAAAAGAATCAACAGGAAACTGCGAAAGAAATGCTGCATGCCTATTTTTTGAATAAACATGTCAAACACTCGCAAAAACACAAATATTATTCAGGATATGAAAATAGATGACAATGCAAAGCATTCATTCCTCGAGAATGGCAATTGCATCATCTGAAATCAAGTGCTCCAATACCCAAGCAGTTTAACATTCTTCAAGTACTACTCCCTTATGTTACAAGTCTGAGCAATCACTACCAGCAAGTACTGGAAAATTCAATACAACAGAAGCACACAGCACTCGTAAACAGGCTAGCAAACTAAATACTACATCTTAAATTGCACACTTTTAGCATTTGTGCAAGGTCCACGAGCAGGCAACTAGCACAAAATTTAACACGACATTGAAGCAGCATCTATTTATCTTTCAAACGGTAACACGATAGTAGAAATGTTTTGATGCCAAAGCAAACTATGGTAATCTAGACCTGTAGTAACTTCATCTCTGAAAGCAGCTTGAAATATCAGTTGATCACAGAAGAATGTTTCTCTTTTTTTTTCTGGAAACCACACATTCAATGCATGCATTGCAGATTGTTATTTGAAAAAATAAATAATTAAAAGTTCATACAGTTGCTGTCACTCGAGGTCCTCCCACAATGCCATAGAAAAGTGTCAGAAATTGGCAAAAAGTGTACAAATTTCACAATATACAAATTGTGAAAATTTCCTAGTGCACACATTAAAGATGGACATTACATGACAACACCATGTGACGACGAATAAAGCACTTCAAAGAGCAGCTGCAATGTTGCAAACTACCTAGCATAAATCTATAGTTAGGGCAGGGAGTAGAGAAAAGCCCGAGAGCATTTTGAGCCTCCTCACTCATTATACTCGGTTTGCATAGTTGTGCACGTTCAAGGTTGGAATGCAGTCTACAGAAATTTTTGAGCTGTCATAAAGGCACACAACCTTTTTATTCTTGAAAATAAATTGTTACATTTTTTCAAATCTTTTCCTTGCCTTGTTGGCCTACAGTATTATTGCATAAAATAAACTGTTTTCATTTTTCTCAGCTAATTTAAGACAAGGTATGCATCTCATACAGTCAACTCTCATTACTAACTCCAAGGGACCTCTCGATTTCGTTTGAATTACCAAGAAGTTTGAATTATCAGAAGCTCTCAGATAGATGAGTCTGCGTGAGGTGCCACCACACATTATGATTAGGCACTCATTTGATCACATTTAAAAAGTTTTTAGGTGTTTTTAAACCATAACTGCACGGAATGAACAGAAAGCAGAGAAGTAAGGTCCACAAGTTTATTGGTCATTTACTGATCATCAGAGCTTTTGAAGAAATTATGACTTGCCAACTGCTTCCTTGCTATCAGTATGTGACTTCAGCACAAAGCTCTCTATACCAGTTGAGAAGTATCATGGTTTACCATGCCTGTGCTTTGTTTCAAACATTTGTTTACTAGCAAAGCCTTTTTCCTTGAAGGCCTGAGGTGCTTATTTTTAATTTTTAGACTGTTAGGATTGTATAAGCATGCAAATTTTTAAATAGTAGTGGGAAAGCAGCAGATATTTTTGGATATGAACTGCAAAAAGTATGAATTAGCCGAATAATGAAGTTTGAATTAATACATTGAAAGAATACAGGGCCAACCATTAAATTTAATTTTTTTTGAATTAACCAACAATATGAATTATCGGAGTTTGAATTATTGCAAGTCTACCGTATAAAAGAAAAAGTTGTGTGCCCCTGTTAAGCTCAAAGAAAACCCAGACGTGCAAATGAGCAAACCTTTGCATGTTTGACCTCTTATGACCTCTAACACGCAGCTTTGCATCAGCTGCAGGGGGGCTGAGGCAAGGATGTATTTTTCTTTTTTTTTCTTTGATGCACATGAAACTGACGCACGTGTCTGTCGTGCATGCTTTTTCTGTCACTGCTGCCATTGTGACATAATTTGCAGAGACACAGAGCTGCTACAGAGCACAACAAACCAGCTGCTCAGGCGTTTCGTGGAAAGAAAAGTTATATTCATGGTAAACATGCACAGACAGATGGGCATTCATAGCTGTCCGAAAAGTGAGGCTTCCTGATGAAAACAGGAACATTAGTTAAATATGCACTCACAGTTTAAATGAGCATTGTTTATATTATTATTTCAAAATGTTTGGAGGTTCATTGTGTGTCTCCAAGAAAAGCCAACACGCTAGTAATCTTGAAGGGACACTCAAAAGAATCGCTTTAGATCGATAAAGTGGTCTCTGAAACAGGGTTGCCACTGGCGGCTACTATTTACCAAATTGGAGAATTTAGGAGGCCCGTGGGGAGCTATAATTTCGCATGGCGACATAGCAAATTTTTGGTGATTTTTGGTTTAGGTGCCGACTGAATTATTCTCTCTGTACTTATGTCTTAAAAACAAGTGAGATACATTTTTTTTTCATAGTTTTAGAACACCTTTCCTATTTTTTGAGTGTATTTCCCGAGTTCTCCTAGATTCTAGAGGCACTGGTGTACTGGTGTATCCGCCAGCAACCTTCCAGCAATATTTAGGTCAGCGGACTGCTTTGCGTGCAGTGGTGGTGTTATATTAAGTTTTTCAGGTGCTCTAACAGCTTTAAGCTTATTTAAACTTCTGATTCTGAAGTGGTTAGGTGGCAGTTAGTTCAGCCCAACCGCGTGAAATGGGATGAGGACAAAGAAGCCGCATTTCAGGGTTTGAAAGCCTCACTCGTTTCCCGACCTGTGTTACGTGCACCGGACTATAGTAAGGAGTTTCGAGTGTTCCGACTACCACTCCGACTATCCTAAATAGCTTGTCGACTTCACTGCTGGAGTAGCTCCTAATTCGCCATTTAACGTTTAAATTTTTTTATTGACATACTTTTCGGGCCGGCCAACAGGTCGACTTTTTTGGGCAGCCTTCAGAAGTACTGCACTAAAGAGAATGTGTAACATAGGCGTTATCGCACGAAAAGCATGGTGCGTGCATTGTGAGTAATACGCAGCACTTTCAAATTTATTTTTGTTACTTAGTAATTAAGTTGTTCAATTATCGGACACATGATTACATGGCAATGAAATTCTCTAAATATCCAGGAAGGCTATGCATGCCATTCCTCTCTTGTTGTAGCAGCTGCATTGCTCTGTATTCGCTACAACTGAATCCACTGGAAATTTTGTTATGAGGCGCTAGCATTCAGGGACGTTGCTGGTACATGCATGTCCTTTATCAGTGCCCCAAGGTGAAGAGAGTGGTGCGACTGGCATTGAAAGACATCAATAAGATTTGGGGTTTGTGGATAGTAATAATAAATTTTTATTACACGGCACACCACACATATGTAGAATGGCGATTTTCGGTGACAAGTGAAGAAAAATGGCAACTTTTGGATCGTCGTTTCGTGAATTTCACTCGAAAGACAGTGGCAACCCTGCTCTGAAAACAAACACAATTTGATTTGCTTGCACCCTGAAGCAGTTTTTGTGTCTTTTCATTGAAACTGACTACCCACACTCTGAACAGCAGCTCTTCAAAGAGAATTACTACATTTCGCCAATCAGTATACCTAGAAAACATGCACTAGTTAAGTTACTAAAAGCATTGTTTTTTACGAAACATTCACTCCAGTCAAGGTGCTTTGGTCACAATGAAAGCAAGAACCTTCCTGTGTTAGGTCCTTCAAGGTACTTTAGCACAACCACTTCAACGCTTGCACCTTATCTTCATGACTTTGGCTAGTTAGCTCAGTAGCAATTGCTTTTGAAAGCAAGCAACCACTCTGGAAATAAATGATGCCAAGAGAAATTGTACCTTGAGAATCTAAGTGACAATAATAGAAAAAGCAATGAAGTGTCTAGCTACTCAAGAATAGGAAAATGTATGAAAAGCTCTTTTTTGCCCTCTAATGTGCTTTTGATATATTGTATAAAAGCACCAGCTTGTATCCTCTAAGTTACTGGGAGAGAAAACTGGTACCTAGCTAATACTGTGAGATAATTTATGAACTGTCAAGTTATTTTTGAAATCTCAAGGCTATTATCTCAGTCTCTGACCCTTTCTGATGAATCTCTCAACACTTGGACAGAACCGGTTTCTTCTAGCTCTACTGATGTGACGACTCAAATAAATGCAAAAGACTTCGATAAAAGCCCGAGCACAAGCCAATTTAGCCACAGCCTACAGATTGTAGCAGGGTTCGTCTTTTAACAAATTTGCTCAATTTTCATTCACTTCAAGATGTTCAAAGTGTACAACATAACCTTGCAAAACCTGAACACTTCTTCAGGTTATTCGAGCCCATCATCAATTCACCTACTAGATAAAACCCCCTTTGGGGAACTCCAAAACCTTCCTACATGAAAGAAAGTCTCCGTTACATGTAGCTACAAATCGGTAGATGTTGGAAGACAGAATTGGTTAGCAGTGCTCAAGTGTATGTCTCAACAGCAAGACAAAAAACAAAGCAAAAAAATGCACTTGAACCGCATATATTGGACTATTTGCTCTACTGAACAGCTGTACCATCCCCTTGGAGGCCCTCAGTCAAGGCAGAAACACACTGAGAGCAATTTCTCAATCCATCTCTCCATCCAACATATCAAACACTTTGCAAGTATGCAATCACTGTCTAGGAAAAGGCTGAGTAAGAACAGCAGCTTTTTATGCCACAACAATCAACGTTATCTGTCTTCCTTGAGTTTCTTATCTTAAAAACTCAGCTCTCAGCCCTTCCTATCAAGAATGCCATGTCACACTTGGAACAACCATGCTGTTTGTATCATTGAAGTGTGAGAAACACTCACACTATGGCAACAGTGTGACAAATGGCACACGACACAGATGACCAATGTTGTGGGACGCAGCGACACCTTTTTTAGCTCAATCTTTTCAAGAAGCATAGATTTTGCATCACTCGTTTTGTTAAGATGCAGCATTGTTTTCACAGATTCTATCAATCAAGGGGATGAAAAAGCTAGCTCTGGAAGGAAACCATTGAAGTGCACTGAAAAATGTGGATGGCACAACACAGTCACGTAATGCAGGAATGAACACAACTTAGCAGGCTTTGCCAGCACAAAGGTGGATGCACACAAGCTTGCACTAAAGAGTGGAACCTTAGGACTGACCTGATAAGCTCTGCCGCTGGAGAGCATTGCCAATTGCATTGAGCCATTGAGGCCTCTGGGCAGGGCGGGGCCTCTCTGGCATTACCCGACCACAGCAGCACCGAAAATTTCTTTCTAATTAAGAATTCATGTCCATTAGTTTGATTATCAAATATGCTTTCTGTACAGCTGTGGCTACTGCTCTTCTAAAACGTTCAATGATATTGGTTCTTCTTCAAACATTTGTAGATAACGACAGGAGGTTCTTCTAAGAGTTGTCCTTTTGGAACCTCCTTCTGCAAACCCCATGTGTTGTCGTCTTTTGATGATGTCATAATAAACTTGCAGAGAGCAAGAAGCAAGCAGTGAAACCTGCTATTCATTATTGGAAAACGAATGGAACTGCTGCTCCAAGAAAAGCCAAAGGCGTGGATAAAATATAAAATAGAAAGCAAAGTTCTATGCAGAAATAAATTAGTGAATTCCCACTTTTCACCGTCTCAAGAAGCTGTTTAAAATGTGGAACATTGTCAGATAAGCGTGTGATAAGTGTAACTGCTGAATATTGTATGTTCTATTTCGAGCCTAATATGTCCGGGTTTGACAACACTCGAATATGCCGTAAGGGTTCATGATACCACATTGCCATTGGTAGCAGAGCAACAGGATCAACAATACTAAAGTATATTTTTGAACCGCAGGCTTCCAGAACACTGCAACAATGTATCACACTCTTTGAAGGACCGAAATGTGATGCCTACGCCCCGATTGTTATTCAATTAGAGAGTGCAAGCTTCGTGTTCGCTTGCTCCTAGTGCAAGGCTCAGGTGTGGTGCTAATTTACGGGCCAGCACTCATGTGCACATAAAAATGGTACAACAAGCAAACGACATCGCAGCAGAATTTCATCATATGCGAAGCCCTGGGCATCTTCAAGAGAGGCATGTTCTCTCACAGATATCATTTTTGCAATTGTGAAATACTGATGGCACTGGAAAGCAATAAATGATTGCCAAGAACTCCTGCTACAGCACTCCATCAGGTATAGAGATAACTTGTGCAGAAATTTCACATCATAATGTCCACTTGAGCACTTCTCCTAGGATACATATTCAAGGAATGCGTCACATCACTCACAGGGAATGATGGGACTTTTCAAGAATTGGAACTGCACAGTGACTGCACACTGATTTTGAGAAGTTCTTGATTCTGTAAGGCAGCACTGAGGTATGCCTGCATGACCAGGTGGGCCCCCGGGGACCAATAGAAAATTCCAGAGTGGGTAGTTGTTTACAAGCGTTTCATTTGGTGTTGTAAAGAACCATAGTGATTCATATACATAACTACTTTGGCATTTTGTTCTTGCGAGAAAATAATCTTACTACAGCAACATCAGGCAGGGCTGTGATGTAAGCACAACAGAAAGAATGGCACTTGTTTGTAATCTTTTCATCGAAGAAAAGGCAAGCCAAGTATGTAGTCAGAAAAGCGTGGTTCAGAGGTGCGAACTAGTAGTGGCACACACAGTTGAAATTTTGCACAATAATACACACAGTCACCAAATTTCAAAGCTGCCAGTGCTTGATAACTACAACAGTCAAGGTGTGACAAGTTGACCTTAATGAGCCAGATCTTATAAAGTAAAGAAAAACATTTTACAAGAACCACACCAAGCCACACAAAAGAAGACAATCTGAGACGAACACAGAGTAAGTCTGGTAAAACAAACCTGTTTGTGGTGATGAAAGCATTGCAGGGTACCTGAAACAGTTTTTGGAATTTTGTGCAAGTGCCTAAGCAAGGATATTGTCAAATCCTGCAGTCCATAGTTTAAGTTGAGCATCTTGTACTGAGGAAGCTATCCTTTTTCTTAGTGCTGCTTTTCATTCAGAGGTTCATCAAGTGGTCTTTTTCATTGGAGCACAGTGGTTGGGGGTTGCCACCTGTCTGGATTTATATCGGCTTTTTCCAAGCAAAGTGTCATTTTAATCACGAGTATTTTTATGCCAGCAATTAGACTAGTAGATTAGTTTAGTGTGCCATTTTTGTTTGTACATCAGGTTTATTTGGCTCGAGGAAAGCAATGTTACATTAAATGGCACTGCATACCAAAGACCTGACACGGCGTCTGTTGTTCAACACTAACACTAGCACCTGTGTTGTGTACATTTTTTTCTTCTTGGTCCCCCAGTGCGCTGCTAAAATCAAGATGAATCCGCAACACCTTGCTCAAGTTTCAATTCTCACTAACCTAATCTCCTGGTAGCTCATCCCCCCTTCAAAGGGCCGGTTTTTTGTTCAAGAAAAAGTGGCAACCCAAGCTTCGGTGAAGTGTCAAAGCTTGGTTGAACTCTATGCCACCAGGAGCCACAGAAATCCTGGCTACCAATAATCATTATTTCACTTGCGCTGTAAGCCAGTGATGTTCGAAAGTTAGTAGACAGGCTTCTTGCAGTTAAGTGTTATAAAAATTGTGGCAGTAGTCCTCCAGCGTGTAGTGATGGCATGAAAATATATCGGTTACCAAGATGCACACTGCAGCACCAAAGGTTTTTCCCTTTTGCTCAAGCACTCGATGCAACAGCTTCATGTGTGACCAATCAGCAAATTAGCAGCCCACAATGCAGCATAGCAGTGAAGAAACTAATATCAACAGTGGTAAGGCTGCTCCCATCAACATTAGTTCAGCGCTGCGTCCTTTTATTTTGTGTGAATCTAATCTGTCAATTATTATACAATGAACATGGAGCAGGCTTTACTCATACTTGCTGTTCATCAAAAGATTCTCCTGACTTCTGTGTTTCATTTCTGTAACTGTTTCGTTACATAAAACAAATTGTAAGTGTTCCAGCTATTACGAGTATCATCACCCAACGACGGCACTGGCACAATCAATCAAGTAAATAAACAATTATATCGGGCAAGTTGGTGTGAATCCATCACGGTAGAAAGCGCACAACTTTTACACAGAAACACAAGACAAAAGTGCTTGTGTCTTGTGTTCCTGTGTAAAAGTTGTGCGCAACCTACCAAGATGCAATCAAGTCAGCTGTGCGAGTGAAGTTTGAAAATAGTGCAATGTCTCAGAAATGGTGCCAACTTGAAACAAAGCTGCGGCGATTTGCACACTTGAAACCATAAAATAAATTACGCAGTTTACAGAAAGTGCTTTAATTGGTCTGCTAATAATAAGAAGGGCTGGTTGCTACCAACCCAAGCATTTGCACAAATAGTCAAAACAGTTTCAGGGTCCCTTTAAAAATAGAAAATTGAAATGACACTGACAGAGGTGCATAAAAATGCAAGTCCTGTAGTCACATGTGAAATTACCCGACAGAAGAAATATAAATTGCTCTGAAGACCGCAGATAAACATTTTTGCACCTAACAAGAAAAATATAAAGAATTTGTAGCTATTAGTGCCGACATGATTCCAATCAATAACCATACAAAGAAGCGTGAAAAAAAAAAGAAACACACATTGGCATGTGCTTCAGGACACTTCATAAGCATTCTGCTCATCTGTGATTCTTGGCATGTAGAAGCACACAATGATGTTCACTTGAGAAGGTCACTGTAGTAGTACCACAACGTCCCTGAAACACTTGGAAAACCTGCTGCTGCAGCGCACGCTGAAGGCAGTATGTCATCAACTATTAATGGTATATCAAAACAGCTAAGAAACTCCACTTTGACAAACTGGCAGACAGCAGGGAGGTACATTAATCTGTCGTTCGGGCTGTTTTCCACAATTTTTCCATGTTCTTTGCTTATTCTGTAGTGACCACCACAAAAAAAAACAGCGGTTGATAGACACTATTTGAAGCCTTCCGAGCAATCCTCATCAACAACCACGAGAAGTACTGGCACAGGAACTAAAAAACAGAGCAGACAAAGTAGAGTTCAAGCATATGAGGCTATTACTTGCTTCACACCGGGCTGGTTGTGGTAGGTCTAGGTCCAGTGATCCAGACGTGGGTGAGTCTTCATCGAGGCTGTGGTGGCGTCGGGTGTTCACTTGCGGTGTTCGAGGCTCGTGTAGGGGAAGTAGTACAGCTGCTGTGCCAAATTGAGCTGCCAACCAGAGGCGTGCAGCTCAAGCAGTTCGAGCAGTGTCTTGCGCGTCTGAGCCGAGAGGCCCGGCTGGACAAATGCCTCTCGCAGTCGCCCAACCAGAATGGCCATGCGCTGGGGGGCATCACGCTCCACTGCCCGACCGGCAATTGTCAGTACCGACCGCAGACACTCCATCTGTGGACAAATATCAGTGAGGCAATCGTAACAGGCACATTATGAATGGTATCTGCAAACAGCAACAGGGTGTTGTATAAGAAAAGCCTAGAATGGTATAGTGGAAACTGTGAGTATAAAAGGGTTGACACTTGGTAAAGTTGTCGCGGATTAATTTTCAAAAAGGAAAAAACGAGACAATGGACACAAAGAACACTGACTTCCAACTAAATTTTTTTTTTGTGGTAATAAGCTTGAAGTGAAATAATGAAGCATTGCTTGCCGCACATGTACCTCCTTTCCTGTTTCTTTTTTCTTATTCTATTTAGGAGCTTGCTCTTTTTTCTCACAGCTTAGTTGTCCTATATCGGCGGACAGTCGTGCTCAAAGCCGCCTCTCCCGTTATTCCAACAATGCTCCCTAGATGGACCACGAGCTCGCATCCTCGCAGTGGATTTGAAAAGGAGAGAACCCAGGTGAAAATTTCCAGTTGGCTTTCTGCTGAGAGTTGCTGGTCTCAGCAGAGTGCTTATTTGGTACTGGTTCCAGCAGGTTATTGGTTTTCTCCTGGGATGCTGCTAGAACCAGTAGGTAACTTGCTGGTTTTCAGTTGGCTTGGCCTAGCTCCAGCAGTGAATGCACCAGTGTGACAATATAGCATCGCGTGCATTCCTAATCATAAATCCGTCAAGGTGTTAGACTGCGATAGTTAGTTGTGATACCTAGCAATCATTTCTGTAGCGTGAGAAATACAGACAGGACAGCCTCGTCTCTCTCTCTCCATCATGTATCCGTTTCTTTTTTTGTGCTTTAGAAATGAATGCCAGTCATTATTAAAGACGATTTAGGATGGTTTCCACATGTTGTACATGATGCACCTTTTACATCATCTCAAGTGCTTCGTAGGGTTAAGTTTCAACATATATACATCGCTGGAAAAAAATGCACTTTTATTTCAGCTTTTGAAAACACAAATATGCGTTGTACTGCGTCCAGTACCCCGTTGGTACACCAATCTTGCTAATTTAGACATCCAACCACCCACATGAAAATGGGATGTGAATTGACAGCTGGAAATTGGGTTTCCAGCTTAGATATTAGCTAAGATCGGATATTCAGGCGGGTAATTTCCCGTTCTTAGCTGGAAATGGCATTTCTAGTTGGAAATAAAACCCATGATGGGAACGATATTTCGAGGTTGGAAATTGATACGATTCCCAACTGGAAAGCCATTTTCAGCTAGAAATATGACTTTCAAACTAGGAATGGAAGGCGGGAAATGGCTTTCCAGTTGGGAATCATTGCGGTTTCAAGCTTGAAGTTTTCCAGAGTCACTTTGGAAGTTATATTTCCAGATAAAGTTATTTCCATCTTCTGTTTGGAAATAATTTACTAGATTAGCATGATATTTTACAATTTGCGAGTGGTTAGTTGACAAAAAGAATTTGAGCCAAACAAAAAAAAGTGCTCTACATACAAGTGATAAATCTAGTGTATACCATGTTTATTCGAATGCAAGGCGAGTTTTTTCCAGATTTTTACTACCTAAAATCCCACGCATTCCAAATCAAAAGCCAAAATTCGATTTTTTTTTTAGATGCAATGAAAACTGACTTCTCAGTAATTGCAGGCTGCGCATTTTGGCATGACTCAGAATATTGATTACACATATGCATGGTATGCATGAGCATCTGTAGGGGGCTGAAAAGGGGCACTTTCCTCCCCTCAGTACACACACCAAGACAGGCCCCCACCCAAACTACACCAGTGCTCTCCCTCTTCCCCAGCAGTGGTGCAACAAGGATTTGCATCGCCCCCCCCCCCCCCCCCCTAAAGACAAAAACCCTGCCGACGACCATGATCATACAGCACACCGGACACATTTTACCACTGATTTTAGGCCCCCTTTATGGCTAGGAATCGGAAACAAAATGAAAAAACATATGGCTGAGGCAGAACGTACTTTTGTTTGCCCTGTTCTTACGAACAGACTTGATATTTTACATTAGTGTAACATTTAGAAAATAAAACTTAACAGTTACAAATACAAAGCAATAAATGTTTTACGCTACCACACATTTATCGCTAACTTTTCCTACAGCTTGAATGCAATCGAACTTGAATATGTCTGCGCTTATAAGTATCATGGTGTTCACATTAATAACTTGCTATCATGGTCTGACCACATTAATTAGGCCACATCCAAATTTAATTGAATGTCTGATTGCCCAAAACGAAACTTCCCTGATGACATGCCAACATTAAAAAAAAAAAACAGTTGTATATCACCTACATTCGTCCTTTACTAGAGTATGGCTTATGTGTATGATATCTCGGCAACGTAACACTCGCTAAGAAGTGAGAAGCTATCCAAAACCAGCCGTCACGTTTCATTCTTTCCAACTATCATCGAACATTCAGTCTAACTGCTATGAAGATTAGGCTTAATCTTCCCCCCTTGTCATGCGCAGAAAAATAGCTCGCCTTTGTGCTTTAAAAAATATATATACTATCGCAATCAAAATCTAAAATCGTGTTTAATACAGCCTGCATTTTTCATCTCATCTCACATAGATAACCCCAATAAAGCCCACATAGTATATACCTCGAAGTAACACCTCCACCTTTTCCCAGTCTTTTCTTTCAAACACATGTCGTGACTGGAACCTTCTGCCAGCATCAACTGCCAGTATTACTAAACCTGACGCATTCCGTCAGGCCTTGAAGTAATCCTGAAATGGTTTTGACAATTTTTCACAAACACATTGGACCTGTAGACCAAGTCCCAAGTGTAATTTGGAGACAAATTTGAGCTCTCTACATAAACTGTGTAATTTATTGATTTGTGGGGTTTAACCTCCCAAAACCACCATTTGATTATGAGAGACGATGTAGTGGAGGGGTCCGGAAATTTTGACCACCTGGGGTTCTTTAACGTGCACCCAAATCTGAGTAGACAGGTTTACAACATTTCCGCTTCCATCGGAAATGCAGCCGCCACAGCCGGGATTTGATCCCGCGACCTGCTGGTCAGCAGCCGAGTACCTTAGCCACGACCACCGTGGCGGGGTCTGTGTAATTTATTACAACACTTTAAAGTTGCGAATCGATCCAGATTGCTGCGACACGGCAAAGCGCGTTTTCAACTGCCTATACACCAAGCGACACGTTCTGCCTCATTGACGTCATCGTTTCCAGCTGATCTGATTGGCTGTGGAACGCACAGCATAGGTATTTCTTTTCTAATAAACAGGGAACAAATGTTGTTCATAATTTGTAAAACCTATCATTTATTTTGCCTAAATATTTGTCACGAAGGAAGAGAACACATTCGCAGTTTACAACTAAGCTTTGGGACACTTCCGGCACTCGGTGAACGCGAACGCTGTCTGCTTGGATTTCACACCACACGCTCAGTGGCATACTAACTCTTTCGCGAGTGGGGAGGCAAACCTACCTCACTCGTCAGCCATATATATATATATATATATATATATATATATATATATATATATATATATATATATAGTTATAAACATTTAGAATAGTGTATTATAGGAAACAAAACAATAAAATATTTATTTAATCCTAACAGTTTTGGCTGGTGGACCAGCCTTTTTCGGAGGATCTAAGCGAAATGATACAAGCCTCCAAAAAGAAAAAAAGAAGAAAAAAGAGAAGAAAAAACAAGACAAATGGTCCAACGAGGTAGCAACAAACAATAAAAAGAAGAAGAAGGAGTGGAAGTAGAAAGGGGCATGTAGTAGAAGTGGGCGGGTAATCCTTGCATTGTTACTGGGGATAGATAAGACGTGCTGCCAACAGAGGCGACCAAGGAAAAGGGAAAAAGTGAAACATATTGCCGCTTATCGCATCCCACTCATGGATCGAGTTAAAGTTCACGTGGTTCGGCAGCTGGCCCGCGGCATCGGGCCACACACACACGCACGCACACACACACACACACAGAAGAAGCATACGACCCGCTCCAGCTTTAGGAAAATATTGGCCACGATGGAAAGCTAATGTGCCCTCTCCTCCCTCCCCCATCTGCCCTCTCTTGCAGAAAAGTGTAAAACCAGTCATACTCAAAAAGAATGAATGGATATTCTTTAAAGGATGAACAAACAAAAACGTAAACAAGAAAATAAAATAAATAAAATAATAGAGTACTTAGAAATGAAAATAAAGTCAAAAAATAATAACACAAGCCAGTTGGTGCACGTAGCATCAAATTTGTTTATTTTCACGCGTTATATTGATCATCCTATGTGTGGGACTTCACGTATGTATAAATAAATGAATTGAGTAATTCACTTTTTGTGTTTCACGAAACTTCGCCGAGGCACGTCAGTCGCCCAGGGCTCTCGTTGATTCCGTGGGTAAGTGATCTGAATTTCTTTATGAAGTATGACTCCTGCTGTTCGCGCTCCTGTGTGTTCTAGAAGCCGGATTGTAGGGGTATGACACGCGTTCGAAAGAGTGACCAGAAAGGTTGATATGTTTGGAGAACGGCAAATTGGGGAGGCCCTTTAATGTGCCCTGTCGTTGTTGAAACGCAAACGGAATGCAGTTTTCGTGTGTCCAATATATTCCTGTTTGCACACCTCACAGCGAATGTTGTAGGAAATGAAGGTGGTCGCCACCTTCATTTTCCTGCAATGGCTTAACAGGCCCACCCACAAGAGCAACAGCAGCAGCTGCCTCCTCTGATTCTCCTGCCTCCATGAGACCCCAAAACCTTCTCGGGCACAGGCAAGGACAAGGTGAATGTCGAAGGTTGGGTTGCATTGTACGAGCGTGTAAGCGAATACTATAGATGGGACCCCACGTTGATGCTAGTCAACGTATTTTACTTGCGGGATACAGCACTCACCTGGTATGAAACGCACGAGTCGGAGTTGACCAGCCGGGACGCAAACTGAAGCTTGTAGAGTTGTTCAGCAGGCCATTTAGGCGACAGCATGCCGCGAGTAAAGACCTGGAATGTCGCGTGCAGACATAGACTGAATCGTATGCAT